GCAGTAAATTAGAAAGCGAAGTCACCTGATTGTGACTTACCGCCGATGTCACAATCCTGTCCCTCAACCAGCACTTAGCGAGTGTTAGCAGCTTGACCTCTCCCTCGGTTGTGGTCCTTCCTGTGGACGGCCAACAGGAAAGAGAGAAGGTGGGACCGCGCTGATGGATGAAATGTGGGCCCCTGCCTCTATGTAACCAGCCGATACCTCTGTGCGCGAAGTCACCTGATTGTGACTTACCGCCGATGTCACAATCCTGTCCCTCAACCAGCACTTAGCGAGTGTTAGCAGCTTGACCTCTCCCTCGGTTGTGGTCCTTCCTGTGGACGGCCAACAGGAAAGAGAGAAGGTGGGACCGCGCTGATGGATGAAATGTGGGCCCCTGCCTCTATGTAACCAGCCGATACCTCTGTGCCCACCTCCAAGGTTGCCAGGGGGTCAAATGAGCTAATGTATGTGAAAACCTTGAGAGACACAAATCTGAAAGGGGTGAGCAAATCCGCAGACCAGGGTCGCCCTGACGGGTCTGTCGTCAGCTCTAATAATTTACTTAAGCGGGTGATAATTAGTGTTTGTGTAAGCTGGAGCCGCTGCCTGCCTGCGAGGAAGAATGTGCTCCGATTTCTTCCCGAGGAGCTGCTCAGCATGTGTGACTCGCACACTTGTCGTTCGCAGGGAAACACAGCTTTACTCAATTTCTTCAAGGTTGATGGGAAGACAGGTTGTCGTGCTTAGTCTAATTACTGATTATCCTCTGTGTTGGAACCACAAACAAGACCCTAATTAACAGATTTGCCAGCCACCACTTCCTGTTTACATCCACCATCCGGAGTCGCTGGGAACCAGAGATGCTGGTGGAGCCCAGAGGGATGGCGCCCACAGCTGGAAGGGGGGCAGGTCTGGTTGGAGTCCTGGCTTTGCCATGCCCTGGGGGCCTGAGTTTGCTTATCAGCAAACGAAGGTGACAGGCCTCACTTGCCAGGAGGATTACGTAATGTGGGCACTTCGGCCCTGGCCGGGTGGCTCAGTTGGTTGGAGAGCTGTCCCATACACCAAAAGGTCTCAGGTTCGATTCCTGGTCTAGGCACATACTGAGGTTGTAGGTTCGATCACCCGGTCTGGGTGCGTACGTAAGGGAATCGATTGATGTTTCTCTCTCCCATCAGGGTCCCCTCCCCCCCTTTCTCTCTAAAATCAATAAAAACATATCCATGGGTGAGAACTAAAAATAATAATAATAAAATAATGTAGGTACTTCTTACAGGTGTGTAGTAATGACTCGATCATGAAACCAGAAAAAAACAACACTGGCTTATGGAGAAAGCAAAGATCCAACAAATGTTTGCCATTGCTACTTCTTACCCAACGATGACAACAGCTGCCAGAGTGTGTTAGTTTGACGTCTGTAACTGGATGACTGTACTGTGCTGTGCTATATATAAAGGATAACCTAGTTACTTCAAGTTTTCACTCTGTTTGTAGAGTTCGCGACTCGTGTTTTTCGCAACAGGATGACTTATAATTGCAGGATTTTTTAAATCGTTGCCTTGTGTGTTTTTTTTAAATATTGTTTTTTTTGTTTGTTTGGCTTCTCTTTGAGCTGAGCCACATTAATTTCCTGAAAGCATTAGCGGCCACAAACAGATTTGTTTGGAGCCATCCCATGAGATTAGTGCTCAAGGTTCTGAAGTTATCTTAGTGATACCCAAGGTCAGATCACCTCTTAACTAAACTAACGTAATAGTTTATCTTGAATACCCATTTTTTTTAAAAAAAGAAAAACTGATTCTTCGCAGGAATTTTGATGGATGACACTACCCTGAGGTTTCACGATGTCGTCCCCGGCGGCATTATTTCATTACATGTCTGGCGTTATGATGGATGGACGGACCTGGTTCAGGCGGCTGCGGAAGGGGACACCAGTAAGGTGTTTTCATGATTCTTTAAGTGGATATTACACTTCATGAAGCAGTTGTAAATTGTGTGTGTGTGTGTGGGGGGGGGGGTGGCTAAGGGGGAGTCACCCGGTCTTTAATGTGAATATTTGAGTAGAAGTTTCAGAGCAGGGAGAAAAGATAACAAGGCCTTACATCCTAATGATCAAATCCTGGATCAGGTGTTTCCACTCACTCGTTGGGTTTGTGATTTCACTGTGTTCACTCACTTTTGACTTATAACCCACTCACGCCCCTCCCCCAAAGAATTTGGGCAATGTGTTCTCTATTCACGTGTGTACTTTGTAAAGTTGGAAGCCTAATTAACCGCCAGTGCAGCACCCCAAGTGCCCTGGAGGTTCTCGGCCTGGCACACGGGCAGGTGCCCTGTCCTGGCGGGTCTGCCTTTCTCTGGTACACAGAAGGCGCCTACTGTTTGCCAAGCCATGGGGGGCGCGGGGGGAGGTGGAAACCAGCTTCTCCACCCAACGGTGAAGATGAAGCACTCAGACACAAGGGGGCAAGTGTGTGTTCTTTCTAGAAAATAAGCTCAATGACAGGGACAGCTGTGCTGTGCGGCCACCCACGCTCACGCCACTCCGTGCGTCTCGCCCAGCTCTCTTGCCTTGGAGTGAGTGAGGACTCTCCGTACCGAACCCCAACGTTGCACTACCTGGGAGAGAAGCAGCGGAAGAAGTGGATAGCTCAGAGGGCCTTCGTGGCCTTGTACGTCGCCTCGCACAGAGGCCACGTGGAAGCGGTGCAGTATCTTCTAGAAAAAGGTAATTGTGAGACACAGCGGAGTATGTTCAAGAGCTGGAATCCTTTGTGAGGAGGGAGGACAGAGTGGTTTGTCTTCCTGGTTCCTTCAGCAATGGTTTCCTGGGCTCAGGTCTTGTCAACCATCCATCACGGTCCCTGTCCGAGGTGTCTTAGGACAGGTTAACCAGAGGCGGGTTCCCTCTCTCGGCCAGGTCTCCAGGGAATCCTTTCTGCTGTGGGATTTTCACAGCCCAGCCATGTCCAACCAGACACCCTGGGGCGTCCCCATGCCGGTGTGATTCGCACCCCAGCTGAGGTTGGGTTCTGCCATGGACCAGGGGCCCCAAGCTGGCACCGTTCTCTTGGTGCTTGGCAGTCCCTTTCCTCCAAGCCTCGAGCTAATCACCCCAAACCCTCTTTCCCCCTTTCCTGCTCGCTCTCCCCACCCCCAGCCTTAGCCTGCATTGTCTCTGAATTAAGGGCTTCTTATGAGATTCTGCAAGAGTGGGTTTCATCTCCCTGGATGTAGGACATTTTTGAGGAAAGAGGCCCACAGATTGAGGTGTCACCCATTGAAGAACAATGCACAGTAGTTTCAGCCAGGCCAGGCCAGACCACGCTTCCTCGGGAAAGGGAAGCACGTGACAGGCAGGGTCATAGGTCAATGGTTGGAAGCTCAGAAGGGGGCCTCATCCAAGGGTCTCCCCTGTCAACGCCCCCAGATTAGACCGTTTCTTTCCCACCTGTGGCCTTGACCCCACCTCCCTCCACTCGGTCTGCTTTCTCCCACCTCCAGCAAGCATCCGGATGGAGAGAGCTTCCGGACTGTGTCCCCCCTCCCCTGCCTTCTCACTCTGCCTGTTGTGAGATGAAATATGGGCTTTTCACAGCCCAGCAGTCCTTTAAGCTCATAAAACGTCATTCTCCCTCTGATGGAACTGTGATGTATTTGAAAGCGCCAGTTAAAAAATTACAGCCAGCTTCGCAACGTTCTCTGTCCTTTGCAGACGCCCATTGGGGAGCGGCGATCTGGCTCAGGCTGGGCGTTAGGAGAATTTGTTTAATGAACCCTTTACCTCACCGACCAGCCATGGCTCATAGAAATGGGCTCCCCACATGTCCGTTGCATGGAGTTAAAGTGCCTGGTTTTCTGTGTCACGACATTTGTTACCCAGAGTTTGATTCCATTCAACAAGTCCACGTTGGACACCTGTCACTAGCCCATCCGCCTGCAGGGGGCAGTGAGGGGTGTGGTCAAAGCCAAGTCTGTCCTATGAGTCAAGCCCATCGTCCGTCTGTCATCGCCTGGCCGATTGGCTTCCCCAGGCATTGCTCTAGGTGCTGGGGAGGAAAACAGAACCACTGTGTCTTCTGCCCTCGTGGAGCTTATGAAGGGAAGTCAGCACATGAGTACAAGCAATGAATTCCATGGTTGGTGTGCACATGTGTCTCATACACAGGAGCTCGGGGGTGCTGGTGAGGGAGGGGTTTCCCGACGGAGTGAATGAGACCTAAGGAAGGGTACCGTGAGCCCAGGGGCGGGGAGAAAGGATGAGAGTGTTGTTGGCAAAGGGCACAGCACATCCAAAGGGCCAGGGGCAGGATGGGGGAGCAGGTATATTTAAGGGGTGAAGATATGAGGCTGGTATGATCGGAGCGTGCAGGGTGGGGAGGAAGAACATTGTGGGGGTGTTGCTGGAGTGATAAGGGGGAGGGAGGGCAGGGAGGGGAGGGGAGAGAGAGCAGTTAAGACCTAGAACATTACCCCAAGGGCAGTGGATGTCAGCAACGGGATTGGAGGAGGGTGACTGGTTTTTTGAAAGGTCATTGGCTGCGGCGGAGGAGCAGCCTGGAGGTGAGGCCATGCTGGGTGCTGGGGGTGCATTGCCCCCTCCCTGAGACCTGGTGCTGAGCATGGAGCAGTTGTTAATTTCCCTAATATTCCTTTCATAGCCTCAGCCCCTCCATGCTTCTCTTCCTGGATGTGCCTCCCTCAGGCAGCTTTCTTATTTTACAGGAGCCAGCTGTCTCAGCCGCTCCCCCATGGGCAGGACACCCCTGCACGTGGCTGCGTTCATGGGCCATTCGGAATGTATAGGCCTCCTGCTTCAACACGGGGCCCCCATCTACGCCAAAGATGCCAAGGGGGTGACCCCCAAGGACATCGCCCGCCAGCTGAA